TCTCACCGGAGACTCGCTTCTCTTCGAATATGACCCAGAGGTAAGGAGATGGAATATTTGTGTGGGATTTATGTAGTAAATGTCTGATGTCTTTGAGTACCTAGGACAAAAATAGTTTGGTTTTGTATTAAAATATAAGTGGTTGTGTTTAAAGTCATAGGGATTAGAGTGTTAGTAAAACCTGTAATGATTAAGAATGCAGAATTAGTGTGTTTGCTTTTATATTTTCTTTAATATTTGTTTTGTTTCCCTGAAACTGTTGCAGATTATAAAAAATTGCATGCAACAGTTAGTGCCTGAAAACTGCAATATTATGATCAGCTCCAAGAGTTATGAAGGCCAGGATGTTTGTTGTATGACTGAAGACTGGTTTGGCACAAAATATTCTGTTGAAGGTGAGGAATGAATATTTATTTAAAGATAATTTCTTTTATCTTGTTTATTATGTTAACCTTTTGAGACTGGCTGTGAATATGTATTTTTAGTGTTCAAACACTTTCCTATATGATTTCAAATTCCACAGGTATGATTCCTTGTAGGAATTTTAAGGGTCTTCCAGTTCAGTAAAATTCTGTTATTCAAAAACACAGCTTAAGATTCCTTAAAGAAAAATACATATTCTTATGTTGTGTATATAATCATAAAAATTCTATATAGCTATCTATCTTACAAACTTGGTAAAAACAGAGGTACTGTATTCAACCTTTTTTCCTTTTTCCCTTTTGACAGATATTCCTCAAGAGTGGGTAAAGGAATGGAGTAAACCACCAGAAAATCCTCATTTGTTCATCCCGTCTCCAAACAAATTCATACCAGACAATTTTGACTTACTTAAAGTTGAAGAAGGTGCTACGGAATACCCAAGAGTACTTCAGAAGGACGAATGGGGAGAGGTGCTCTACAAACAAGACCAGAAATTCAAGTTGCCAAGGACGTACTGCTACATCTACTTCCTGTCAGACCTCCTCCTGCAGTCTCCCAGAGCGTAAGATTTTTATTTATAGTGGCCTAATATAGAATTATGTTTGTCGGTTTCCTCTTTTCTTTGTTTCTGAAGCTTTATTTTAATGTGAAAGATTTTAAGAAAACTCACTGAAATTATAGGTCAGAAGTTTTAAACTATTTAGAATTTTATTATAGTTCTAGTGTTATTTTAGAAGAGTTGGTTATGTCATAGTAAAAGAGAGTAAAGTTTTCTATGAGCTTAGTAAATGCTATTAAAGAATTATTTTTAAAATTATTATTGTGCTTCTGCTTCTGATACAGACCATGATATGTGTGTGATTTAAAGGTATTTTTTGTTTATTCTCTGATGAGGTAACTGTCCAGTCTCAGAAAAGAAAAAATGGGCAACCTGCCCTAGACCATGAAATCCTCTGTCTCTTTTGAGAAGAAATGATAATGGTGGTGAAGGTAACAAATTTGAATAAAAAACAATTAAGAATTATGATATATGAGTTGTAATGCTACAAAATATGTGTATATAAATATTATGTGGCAACTAATTAGAACAGAAATGAGACTTGAATACTCCACAAACTGCTGAGATTTTACATTATTTTTCTTTTCTACATATTTTATGCATGTTCCCATATAGCATATGCAGGAATTGATGAGAGTATGCTTATGGTGACTTGAATATCCAACATTTTTATTGCAGTGCAGCTCTGTTGGACCTCTACCTGAACCTGTTCCAGCAGCACTTGATGGAGGATATTTACCCCGCCAACATGGCCCAGTATCACTACACCATCAATGCAACAGAGCGAGGCTTAGTGTTCAAAATCAATGGTTTCAGTCAGAAGCTTCCTGTGAGTATTTTGCTTTTATGCAGGTTTAATGGAAGGCTAAGACGTTTAGACAGATAACAGTTTTGTGATTTTATCATACTGTCCTATTGAAATAAAATCTAATGATAATGAGATTAGTATTTGTATTACCCCATTGCTTTGAAGTACATGATTTTGGGGGCAGTAGCATACCATGTGTTACCATATATTGATAGTTTATTGGAGGTATTCTGTTTGCAATTGTTACTGAATTCTTTCATGATGAGACTTTACTTTTATAGCAAATGCTGGAACTTCTACTTCATCACATGGACACATTTGAAGAACATTTGGATGAAAAGTCTTTCCAAGAGATAAGGCAGCAGCAAATGAAGTCCTATCACAATGCTATCATTAAACCAGAGAACATGAAGAAGTAAGTGTTTCTGTGTTGGTAGGAAAAGAATGAGAGAATGAAGAACACAAGACTGATATTATCTTATTTTAGATTTCTGTAAATGCATTTTACTTCATTTCACCTGATGTCTCTCTGAACTTTGGTATATTTCTTAAATGTCTTATGTTATCTCACCTCAACTGTTATTACCATGCCACACATATTTGAATTACCAAAGTCTGCAAGACGCACCTGGATGTAACCCAACCTTGCAGTTTTTACTGGAACCACCCCAGGCATAAGAAGTTTCATTTAAAAGCTTTGTAAAAAGGATGGATAAATATGTTTTGACCAGATAATGTAAGAAACAGGAATATAGATATATTTCCTTTGCAGGAACGTCCGGCTGTCAATAGTTCAATTTGTGCACTGGACACCTTATGAGAAGTTGAAAGCGATAGTTGATGTTACTAGCAAAGACCTTTTAGAAGACTTTGTGTATAAGCTCTATCCAACCTGCCACATACGGATGCTTGTCCAAGTGAGTATCTTGTGAAGCTTTGTGATAATTTCATTCCCTCTTTATAATTTTTATTCCTTTCATTTCCAGCAATTTTGATTGGGCTGTGAAAGTTTGGCCCAAACCTAAGGGTATAAAGCTTATTTTTTCACGTTTTATATCTATTCAGAGTTAAAGTGCCCTTTCATAACTAATGTAGGCTTGAAATTGCATATTGTCCTTTTGAAGCCCTTACCTATATTGAACAGGTGGTTGATAAATCATTGAATCATATAGTAGCATCAGCTATACAGAATTACAGTGAATTTAGTGGTTAGAGTAATTAGAATCTGATAAATTTCTCCTTGTTGGTTTCAGGGTAACACATCAGCCTCACAAGCACTGGACATGTACAACTTAGTTAAGACGAGAAAGGTCAAGTATGAGATGCAAGTTGTGCCTCCATTCCCAGAGGTTTGTATCCTGTTCTTGTGTTGTTTGACTGTTTATTTTATTATTTTTTCTTTTCTGTAATATGAGTATTTTTATTTAGTTTACTATTTTTTGTTGATGTTGCTAATGTACTTCTTATTGTAATAGCTTTTTGATTGTCAGATGTAGTCTTCCGTTTCATCTGTAATCCAGCTCTGTAACTGAAGTATTCTTTTTACATAGATGCGAACAATGAAGCTCTTGCAAGGTTGCTGGATTGCTCGTCTGAAGGCCGTTAATCCAGCAGACACCAACACTTCTGTCATTAACTACTACCAGGGGAAGGAAGGAACACTGATGACTGAGGTTCTTCATGAATTCATCCAGGTAATGATGGGAAGGAGGACGGGTGGGTGCCTGTACCGCCTCAGTAGACACATAATGGATAATGCTTTAATGATGTATAAGACCTTTAAGATCTTCTCTTGCTCATCCTATTAAATGGGTAGGACATATAAAGTAAACAGTCTATAGAGTAATAATCTCACAGGGTTTGAGTAATGAAAAAGATGCAATATTTTAATGATAAATTTCATATGTTGATAGCAAATGGAAACATTATTATTTACACTATACATTATCTTTCTTTTTTTTAGATGGTGATGGATGAACCAGTATTTGACTTTCTGAGGACTCACGAGCAGCTTGGGTATCACGTGTATTGCACAAACCGCAATACATATGGAATTCTTGGAATCTCTATTACAGTTAATACCCAGGCTAACAAATTTGGGTAGGTGGTTGATTAATGCTATTTACTGGTGAATAATTTAAATGAAGAAGGCATGTAGAATTTGTAATTATTTGTCTCTTTTAACCCATTAACGCCGGTATATTTTAAAGTCGAAAATAAAAGATTCTGGGCGGCTACAAAATCTGCTGCCCCGGACTCTGCCCGCCTGCTGCTGCGTCAGAGTTTCAGCCCCGATACAGCGTCAATTGGCGGGACGCCCGGCAATGTTTATTTTTTCGGGTGTTTCATATGTGGGACACCCGTCGTTAGTGGATTAAGACATATAATATTTTGATTATATTTAGAAATTACGTGTTGAAATGGATGAAAGGTTAATGTTATTTGAAGCCTCGTGGTAGTAAGTTATTTCCAGCACATAATGTCTCCTGTGATGCTATATATAACATTAGTATTCAGTGAAACAGTGTACTATTATGCAATGAAATTGAGTACTATTGCATTAGTTAATCTTAAGTGATAGAATTTCACACTTCATATTATTATTACACGTACAAGACCAAGATCATCATTATGACTTTTCTTTTTGCAGGGTACAGCACGTTGATGAGAGGATAGAAGCATTCCTTAAGGAGTTCTTGAATACGGTGAGAAATCTTAGCAGTGAAGAATTATCAAGTCTGAAAGATACCCTTACCTCTATGAAGCAGACAGTTGATCTGACACTCAGAGAAGAGGTGGATAGGAATTGGGGAGAGATTACTGATGGAGAGTATCTCTTTGACAGACTGCAAAGACAGGTATGGACTACTGGTTCCTTTACTTGTCTCGGAGTAGAATAGATGTCATTATTAAGTTATGACTGGTTAATCATTCTAAGTTGAGGCTTGTAATGCTGTTTTTTCAGAGGATAGAAAAAGTGTAAATATAACCTGTAAAGGAAAAGGTAACGGTAATCTAATGAAAGTCATATCCTATCTTCCAAAGATTGAATTAATAAAAGACATCACACGAGACTCTGTAGCTGAGTGTCTGGAAAGTCTGGTGTCCAGCAAGACTAATAAAGAATATAGGAAGCTGACAGTACAGGTTGTTGGGGCATCCAACCCAGAAGATGGAACACCACCTGCACTGGAAGGCTTGTTAGGTTGGTATCTGTAGTTTAGTTTATTATTTCCTCCAATATAGATTGATTTACTTGAACTGTATTTCCTTTTATACCCAAGTGCATTATTTACTTATCAAAATTAAAGTTTTGACAGTCATATTTCTTGATAATTTTAATGAATATGTTTCATTGTGTTAATACAATATTGTTAATATGACAATTTACATATTTTCCATATGAATGTATGTGTCTGTTTAACAGGAGAAGACAATGTAGTGAAGTTCCTGGGACCATGTGATAAGAGTGCTGTGAAAGACTATCCTGCTGAACAATTTATTACAGACATTGCCAGCTTCAAGGAAAAACTCGAACCATATCCAGTAACCAAGATTGTTTAACATTCAGTGTAAGGATTAGGTGATGTGCATTTTCATTAGATTATATTAGTCCCCATGTATCTTGTGGAAGTGTAGGCCTTTTCAATACTGAATTTTGATTGATGAGGTGCATTTGAAGTGCCTGACGTAGGCAAAGTTATGTAAAAGGTATGTGATTTATATTATTTTTATTTATTTTTATTTTTTTTTAGACTTTCTGATGGAGAAATAGAGGTAGTGAATATTTTTTATTGATGGCATAATTTGAATTGAAAATACATCTTGTATTTCATATTTTTTCATTCATATGTTTCTGTGATTAGTATTGTGATTAATGCTTTGAACTTGCGGGTTCCCAGATATTGGTTTCTATGTAAAACAGAACCAAAGATCTGGAAGATGGATTAGTGATTATGTTATAACAGCCTGTTATAATAAGAAAAATCATAAAAAGTTGTGTTCTAAAGGAAATATGTCACATTTCTGCAATGTGAAAATATTCATAATCTGCAGGAAGTGTTTCAAATTTAAAGGCATTCAGAAACTATATATAACCGTTTTTCAAAAGTATCCAGTACTGTAAACAGGTATATCTTTTAGGCCTACAAAGGTATAAGTAGTGTATATCAAAACTTGCATGAAAAATAGACAAACAATGTAATGTAATAAAAAGAAAGAAAATTATATTATATGGTGTTGGAGTGTGAAATTTATTGAGTACCATACTTAAGCACAGAAAATCAGCTAGATTCACATTATACTCATGAAAAGTAAATGTATATCAATAGATGCTGGGAAATGCATGTGTTTTTCAAGTGTGATTTGAAAAAATAGCATAATGTGCTATACAATTATGTTAGTGAATGGTACTATATGTGAATAATAACACTGGCTTGTGTAAGACAGTTGTGTTTATCTATCCCACAAGGAATTGTAGTAAGAACCCAGATAAAGAATCCAGATAATGAATATAAGAATATAGGAAAATGAAATTTAATCAAATTTAAATATGTTCCTAGAACAATTTTGTTACTTAAGAGCTAATTTCATGACCATTCATGATGGTGGAAATGCAAGCATACTTCAGGAAATTACTGAAAGCTTTGACATTTATGGATGAAAAGGTCTGTGTTGACACCTGATGAATCCCTGTACTTAATTAATTAGCACCTTGTTTTATGTATTGCATGAAGTGTGGTTGTTCAAAAGCATTTTTTACAACATATGTAAATATGTATAAAACATGGGAACATTATTTATTCTAATTTAGATTGTTTTAGAGGAAGACAGCAATCATTCTTCTGAGCTACTCAGATTCTTACTGAAGCATTTGAATGATAAATGCCCTTGTGTTGAAAAAAAGGATTCAATTTTATTGCTGTTGTGTCCAAGTCAGTTCCATGCAAATGTAAGCCACTTTTTGTGTTGTTTTACTGTAACTACTATTGTACTGTAAACATGTTTCATTTGCATTACTAATGTGGAATGTTCCTATAAACTAACTGCTTCTTTATACATCAAATATCAAGAGAATGAAGACAAATAAGTAAGAGGTGTAAGAAGCTGGTCTTCGTAATCAAGCTTTTCTTTTATATATGAAATCCATCCAAAAGAATTCAGAATTTGCAAAGCTGTCATGTCACAGCGATGATAGGAAAAAGTAAAAGATTTCAGTCCTTTGCTAGTTCCCCAAATCCACTTTTAGAATGTGTCTACCACACATTATTTTTTTCCATTTTCTATCACACAGTGCAATGGCAATCTTTCAATTAGATCCTTTGTCTCTGAATGGATCAGTTCACCTCCAGAATCTGATACACAGGTCTCTGGATCATGGCCAACCCACCCATAATTTGTCAATCTGCCAGTTACCTCTTTTGTATAATCCTGCTGACAAATTAACAAACCAAGAAACTAAGCAATTACCCAGTAAACAATTGCAAAAACATAGTTTCCCCTGGCAGTGAGGGTAAATGGAGAAGCTCTAGGCGATGGAGTGAGCTTCATGTGCTTGGCAACCTTTTATCAATTTCTCCGAATTATTCTTTCCATTGTACCTTTGGTTTAGAAAGAGGACTTGTAACTTGGCAGAATTAAGGGAATGTGCATGTATTTATTTGGACTTTGCCAGCCATGCAGCAGTCAGATCATAATTAATACTGTAAGTTGTCTGTCTGGCTTGTTACCAATGAGGTCTAGTTCTAGGGCAGGGGAAAACATTTGAACAAACCCATGTGCCTGGATTGGTAACTGTTTTGTGTGGGCAGACTTTTTAAGATGAATTTGGGGGGCAAGCAAATTCATATTCAGATATAAGGGTGTGAATTGCCTTTCAGGAAAAGAATGACAATATGTGTGTAAATTTATCAGATAGACAGGGATAAAAATACATTAAGATATTTATCAGTGATACTCCCTGTTTTTGTTGATTTTTAATGTCCAATTTGGTTCAAGTCAATAAAGAAATCAATACCTTTTTTGTTTCAAATCGCCATTTTTTAATATACTACTACTAAGAAGGCACAAGCCAGTATGTTAAATAGTATGAAAGTTACGGAAATCAAAAATACGAATACTGGAAATATGAAGGCAGTGGTCAGGGAAACCTTAAACACCTCATTTGGACTTTTTTTGTCGGTATATAGTATTGTTTTTATGCCTCCAGTTTACATGTGCAAAGCTTATTTTTTGTACTTCAAAATTGTTAAATTCTGTACAAGTTTTTTATTGTTGGTTTGTTATTTATTTCCTTTTTAGTTTTTCTTAAAATATAGCCATTTTGTTTTATAACAAAATCATGACAGGTTGTTTTTGCATAAAAACATATGAATGCTTGATGCTAAGGGCTTTTCACTGATTGTAAACTTATCCAAAGCAGTCTTTAGAGTTCGTGCAGCTGTAAACTTGTTGACACTTCTTTACAAGGAGTCAGTAACTAGGCCTACTAAGGGTTCCTGTTCATATGCCTAGTAATAAAATATAGTTTTAAAATAAATTATTTACATGTATTTGTTTTTTGAGGATTTATTCACAATTTCTTGGCCATTTGAGATTTTTAAACACAAGGAGAAAGTGATACAATATACCTCACGTAAAATATTCAGCAAAATATTTAATTTTCTTTCTACTGCAAATTGAAAGGTAGAAAAAAATAAATAGTTTTAATTAGAACATCACTTATTTTTTATTAGATAAGAAATATATGTATTTTACATCTTTTATTTACAGATATTTAACAAGAAGATTAAATTCTCTCAGATATCCACACGGCCGCTTTGCAGCCCATCTTTATGACGTTACTCATTGTTTTATATGCTGGTGCTAACTCTGCATCATGGGCTAAGCCAGTATCATGATGATCCATTTCATCATCTCTGAATTTTTTAATAACTTCAATCAGTTCTTTGTGTTCCTCTTCACCGTTGTGGATCAATTCACGAAGCTGAGAGTTATAATGGTCGGTAATTACTGATTCTACCGCCACAGTGCATGCCATTGCTGCTTCTTTGCCCAGTAATGCAGTACCTGGAATACAAAAAGAAAGACTTAAAATGCAAACTAACCACCAGGTATCTGAAATGATGGACAATGAAAGCCTTCCTTTCAGGCTTCAGGTCACTCTTGGAAGCGGAGAGAAGAGAAGGTCAAGGAGATGGGTGGAGGGGAATGGAAGAGTAATATGGGGAGGAGGAGAGAGATGTGAGGGGGTGATGAAGAAGCGGAAGAAGAACGAAGGAAATGGAAGAAGAAGAAGAAAGAGGAAAAGGATGGCAGAGAAAGAGAAGAGAAGAAAGAAGGAGAAAGAAATAGAAAATAAGGCAAGATTAAAAAAAAAAAAAATTGAGGAGAGATTAACAACAATAATATGCTTCAATAACCTGTTAGATCTAGGATGAAATAATTTTGCCAAGGGGTGTTTAAAAAGATTTTAAAATTTGGCTGAGGAGTAGGTGATGGGAATGTCTTGTGAAAAAAAATTTGGCCAAGGGGCGAGTGACATGAATGTCTAGTCAGGAATGCACAATACACTTGTAGTATGATTAATTCAGGAGGCCTTCAAGAAGGGGCTTGTTCATCAGCTACTGCAGTATTTCCTTCAGTCCATAAGGATGAAGTTTAGCAGCTGTTAACCATGCCTGAGAGAGGGTATCTCCAGCAAGTACGCAATATCCACATACAGGAACATATTCCTGACCACTATTGCTGGTATTGTAAGGTGAGTCTGCTCAATGAAGTCTATTATCATCTTGAAATAGCAAAAACAAATGACATAGATCTTGGATAATTCAGAACCTACAAAAAACATGTCTGAAGAAAAAGGGGTAATGGCATTGCATAGAGGAAACGAGTCACGATACTGCACGTGAGTATTTGTGTGGGAGGGGCCTACAAGCCACACACCTTGGAGTCGCTACTCCAGGAAGCCCAATGCCCAGATTTTAGGTACACACATACAGCACATGGCATCTAGATCCCATGGGATGATGATGATGATGATGATTGATGATTGATGATGATTGATGATGATGATGATTGATGATTGATGATGATTGATGATGATGATGATGATGATTGATGATGATATGATGATGATGATGATTGATGATGATGATTGATGATGATGATTGATGATGATGATGATGATGATGATTATTACAACAATAATAATAAAACAGGAATAAAAAATATAAAATAAATTATATACTTTATATATTCAACCATAATTATGAAGTCTCCCCCCAAAATTAAAGGAAACTCTTTTTAATATAGGATAGAAAAATGGTAATCAAAGAACTTACCTGCACCTAAGGCAAAGCCTGCAACATTCCATATGGGTACAAGAACTGTTGGTCGCACTCTGTATTTTGGAATCAGTTCCTCGAATTTGGCTTTGTGTTCCTTCTCTTGATCCCACATATGTTGGATAACTGGTCCTACACTTGTTTTGCCTTTGGAAAGAAAGGAAGGAAAGATTTATACATGCATTCATATCAAATTGATCACTGAAAAACATGGTAAAATGTGTCCAAATTCTCCAGTTGTTTCGTAGAAATCTTTGTAAAACTATTTCTTTGTATAACGCTTACTAAATCTACTTCCTATTGTACATTTTAAACCAGGGTGGTCTAACTATGGGCTTGTGGGTAGATTGCCCTGTGGCCTGTGAGCACTCATCTTCGAGAAACTGTAACAAGGAAAAATGATTTTGCTCAGTAAAAAAAGTGTTGCAATCATATAACAACTGCAGAGTTTCTGATGTAAGATTTGAGGGGATACCCAAGTGGAAAGGATATCCTTCAAAAATTATTTTTCCATGTATCCTCTTCATGTATAGAATAATTCAATTTGTGTAACAGATGAGAAGCTTGGGAGGGAATAAATCCCTCTTACTGTATCATAATGTCAAAAAAACTTTCTTTATAAGCTTTCCTGGAAGAAGAAGAAGAAGAAAGGGAAGAAGAGGAAAATCAATATTATGCACTAATTTTCAATGTTTTTATTTTTTGTAACTCAGATGTCTAATTATCATCAAAATCCTTGTTCTTTATCTGTACTTGGCCATTTGTTGAAAAAAAAAAAAAAAAAAAAAAAATGCATCTTACAAGAAGCTTTTTTAATAAATAAAATGCTAACAAAATGGTCATAAAGGGTTGACATCTTTATGTATTGCCTGGTTCAGCCTCCTCAAAGTTGTGCAGGCTAAACAGTTGTGTTTGTTGGCCCTGACCACAGTCATTGAGGAGAAATCAGGGCAAGTATGTCCAAAGGCAATCTCAGACCAACTGCCTGAAAATGCATTTATCTAATGTTTCTGTGAACACCTCTGGACATGCATGCCTTGATTTCGTCTCCATGAATGGGGCCAGGCCAAACGAGCATACAACTGTCCGTATGCAGCTTGGACTCAATCACATGTGACACAAAGGGGTCATTCCATCTGGAGGGTTGGTCTATCATGACATGTATGATATGATCCGCTGATAAAGGGTTACATATAAGTACTTGCTTCATCCAGAGTGACTTCCATTTATCTTTATGAATTCTGTATCTTCCCCTCAGGATTCTGTGCCAGTAGCACCCTCTGGGTTTATAATGCACCCTGACATCCTTTTTGGAGGATCTATTAACTTAAGACCTAGGTAGCAGAATGACAACCTTTTGGACGCGTAAAAATTCTAACCCATGAACATGATTAGCAGTGTTTGTATCTATTATGGTCTACAGCCAATACTATGGGGCAGGGTGTTGCAATTTGCCTCAGGGAATTTGTGGTCTCTAACATTATGTCACAAAGAGCAATGGCAAGGAGAGTAAAACATATGAGGTGGACTGAGTGTTTCTTATAAAATGGGAGGAAGAATTTATTTATACGGGAAACAATGGAAAACCAGTGTTATATATATTTCTGATATCTTGCAATGGTCTTGGATTTTAAATGCAGATTTCTTCAACCTATAGTGAAGAAGTGACGAGTGGTGTGCAGAGAGGGGGGGGCGGAGAAGGGGCTTTGTTGTAGAATGAAGGGTATGTTGGCAATATTCAATATAAAACACATCTGACTGTAATATCAAAATAACACATACCCAATACTGCCATCTGGCCTGCGTAAATACGGTCTGCTCCCAACTCTCCTGCATGGTCAACACGAATTATACGCTCGAGTGCCTGCCTGTTCCTTGCTGCTTTGGTGCTGTAGAGCCTCAGGCTCTTAGTTAAAGATGACTGAAGCATATTGAGAATCTGGAAAGAAATTAAAATGTTAGAAAATACTGAAAACAAATACACACAAAAAGTTTTATATTGTCTTCTTACTGACTGACTGGGAAAACAACACTAAAAGAGAGAGAGAGAGAGAGAGAGAGAGAGAGAGAGAGAGAGAGAGAGAGAGAGAGAGAGAGAGAGAGAGAGAGAGAGAGAGAGAGAGAGAGAGAGAGAGAGAGAGAGAGAGAGAGAGAGAGAGAGAGAGAGAGAGAGAGAGAGAGAGAGAGAGAGAGAGAGAGAGAGAGAGAGAGAGAGAGAGAGAGAGAGAGAGAGAGAGAGAGAGAAGAGAGAGAGAGAGAGAGAGAGAGAGAGAGAGAGAGAGAGAGAGAGAGAAATAAAATAAAGAGGACAGAGCTTATTGTTATATTATTCCTTTGCAAGATATTCTGTACTATGACCACAAAATGGAGTTATAAAAGTATATTTCGTTTTTATCCGAGTTGTTCACCTACAGTTTCATGTCAGAGAAACGATGATGCATGGATTAAAACAGTGAAAAAAATGTAGTGAAAGTAAATCTTAATGGCTTCAATATATTTTCTTTTTGTGGGTGATTTTCATAATGGAGGCAAAAATAGATGTTGTGTTATCGAGCCTTACAATGAAAGATGGCGTCTACAGTGAATGCACGTACACTTGACTAGGATCTAAGAGGAAGAAGTTACGCTGAAAAAACATTTATGGAAAATAGGTATATTAAAAAAAGGGATATGCTGAAACCCAACATGATCTGAACATTATCTTATGATCCAATGAATCAATTTTTGTTTGTAAATTGTACAGAGAACTACAAATTAACTATGATACATACTGGGGAAGTAAATGACTAAATAAAGTTTTCTTTACATAAAATAGTAATAATGATAGTAAAAGTAATGACATTTATAATTATTACCATACTCCTACTACTTCTATTAATGATAATAAAGAATGCCTTTTTTGTATTGTATAACTTGAAATTACTAAAGGGCCTATGTTCATCACAGCAAGACACTTAGTAACATCACTTGGCTGTTCCATCACAAGTTTTATGATAACAAAAATAAAGATTTTAAAACTGCACAATTATCATTAACGTCTTCCGCAGTAATTTTTTCGTTTTGTAATAATTTTTACTTGTCTTAACCATAAACCAATAAACAGATCTTGTGTATAACATCTATTTTTATATATCATTGAACCAAACTGCCAACATAATAATAATAATAATAATAATAATAATAATAATAAATAATGTAATTCTGATATTAGACAACTGAAAAATCCTGTAAGTCCTGAGTTCCTTAATGAAAGGAACAGTAAATTTTATGACGACGAAAATGCTGACACAAACTATATGTATTTCACAATACTTTTTCTCCGATTCCTTTTAAGTTGCCTTCGATGATCAAAAGAAATAAACTGGTCTTATGCAAGAAATCTAAACTTATGCCCGCTCCATACTTGCCAACACCTTTATCACAAGAAAAGCAATATACATGTAAAATCTAACAGCATTTGACCATATATTTGCTGACAGAACTCTGTTATACAAGTGACAAGGATTAGATAAAATCTGTATATAATGGACACTTCTATTTATTATATTATAAGTTATATTTTACAAACAAAAAAGATAATTAATTAGAATACAATTAGATAAAATAATGAATCTGAATTTAATAATGGAATGTTGCTGGAACCCCCCGGTATAGGTCTCATGAGCATGCCATAGACAAGTCATAAGCTAAAAATTGAGCTATATATTAGTGCATAGTTAGTGCTAGTTCCGGGGTTGACACACCAAGATAAGGCGTAGATAGAACGAGGAACAGGCTGGGAGTCAGGGACAGGAGCCCAACTCGCCTCAAAGTCTTCCTCGAACTGAACTGCAGTAGAGTTAAGTAACTCGGAGCCATAGAACCCGTAGGGGCGAGAATGCCATCGAAATCCTATAGGAAAACCGACCATGTGGCCCAGACCCCTTCCTCCCCCTGACCCCACAACCCCTCCCTCAAGACCCTCCTCCAAACCGCCCTCCCCGCTTAGGAAAAGTCGCGAATCGGGGCATGAGAGCCCAGGACGCCCACCCGGAGACGACGGGCGTGCAGGGCGGGCCGCGGGCGTGCGAGGGCGGCGGCGGGCGGCGTGGTGGCGGCGGCGCTCAACAGATGGCGCGCGGAGGCCGTTCAAACCCGCTCCTGGGCGACGCGTCTCGGCTTCTCCTTCTCTCCTCCTCCGCGGCTCTTCTACCCTACTCTAGGTAAGCCCTGGGCCTCCTTCGCCTCTCGCCGGGGCCGTGCAGGGCCGCCGGCGCCCCGGGGAGGCCGAGGGCGGCGGCGGCGAGGGCGTTTGTGTTCCCGCCGCCAATATCTTCTGCTGAGCTTTGTTCTGCGCAGACTCAACATGGCAGGGCGCCGAGCGAGGGCTGCAAGCCATGGAGAAAATCAATATTTTTCCCTCTTGCCACAAACAATTCACCAAGAAATTTAACAGTGCCGTTGCCTGGTTCCTGGTGCTCTCCTTGGATTCGCGAGGAGTACTCATTACCTGCAAGTAGAGGGGCGAGGTGAGAGAAAACACGAGGCAGACAAGAGGAGTGGCTGAGGGACCGAAATTGAGTGCAGGACGCAGGTAATATGTGCGTACGCAGCCGAGGGAGGACTGTGTCCAAAATTTGCTCATTTGGGCCTGCTCAGTCCCGTACCCCCGCCCATCTTGCGCCAAATGTCACTGAATGGAACCCTTGGCATGCCACCTCGGCGCACATAGTCATGAACAGGCATAGACATGCTCTGTTGATATATTAGATAAGATAAAGGGCCTGAGACGCAGCCTAGAGTCCTTTAACCGAGACATGCAGTGTAGGAGAAACGCGTAGAATACTTGAAATGTGGGCCGTGTGTGGTGCACGGCCTGGCAGGAC